TTCTAGTTCTAGATCCTTGAGGAATTGCCACACTGTCTTCCACAATGGTTGAACTAATTTACACTCCCACCAACAGTGTAAAAGCATTCCTATTTCTCTACATCCTCTCCAGCATCTGTTGTTTCCCGACTTTTTAAATTATCACCATTCTAACTGGTGTGAGACGCTAGCTCACTGTGGTTTTGATTTGCATTTCTCTAATGACCAGTGATGATGAGCTTTTTTTCATGTTTGTTTGGCTGCATAAATGTCTTCTTTTGAGAAGTGTGTGTTCATATCCTTTGCCCACTTTTTGATGGGCTTATTTTTTTCTTGTAAATCTGTTTAAGTTCTTTGTAGATTCTGTATTAGCCCTTTGTCAGATGGATAGATTGCAAAAATTTTCTCCCATTCTATAGGTTGCCTGTTCACTCTGATGATCGTTTCTTTTGCTGTGCAGAAGCTCTTTAGTTTAATCAGATTCTATTTGTCAATTTTGGCTTTTGTTGCCATTGCTTTTGGCGTTTTAGTCATGAAGTCTTTGCCCATGCCTGCGTCCTGAATGGTATTAATAGCCTAGGTTTTCTTCTAGTGTTTTTATGGTTTTAGGTCTTACGTTTAAGTCTTTAATCCATCTTGAGCTAATTTTTGTATAAGGTGTAAGGAAGGGATCCAGTTCCAGCTTTCTGCATAGGGCTAGCCAGTTTTCCCAACACCATTTATTAAATAAGGAGTCCTTTCTCCATTGCTTGTTTTTGTCAGGTTTGTCAAAGATCAGATGGTTGTAGATATGTGGCGTTATTTCTGAGGCCTCTGTTCTGTTCCATTGATCTATATCTCTGTTTTGGTACCAGTACCATGCTATTTTTGTTACTGTGGCCTTGTAGCCATAGTTTGAAGTCAGGTAGGTAGTGTGATGCCTCCAGCTTTGTTCCTTTTGCTTAGGATTTTCTTGGCTATGTGGGCTCAATATCCGTGATGAACATTGATGCGAAAATACTCAATAAAATTCTGGCAAACCGAATCCAGCAGCCCATCAAAAAGCGTATCCACCACGATCAAGTCAGCTTCATCCCTGGGATGCAAGGCTGCTTTAACATATGCAAGTCAATAAACATAATCCATCACATAAACAGAACCAATGACAAAAACCACATGATTATCTCAATAGATGCAGAAAAAGCCTCGACAAAATTCAACAGCCCTTCATGCCAAATCTCTCAATAAACTAGGCATTGATGGAACGTATCTGAAAATAATGAGAGCTATTTATCACAAACCTACAGCCAATATCATACTGAATGGGCAAAAACTGGAAGGAAGGATTCCTTTTTTTTTTTTTTTGAGTCGGATGACCTTGCTCTGCTCCCTAGGCTGGAGATGACGTGCATGTCTCATCATCTCATCTCACTGCAAGCTCTGCCTCCTGGGTTCACGCCATTCTCCCGCCTCAGCCTCCCTGAGTACACGTTGGTACAGGGGCCTGCCCACCAGCGCCGGCTAATTTTTTGTCTTTTTTTTTTTTTTAAGTAGAGACGGGGTCGTCTCACCGTGTTAGCCAGGAAGGTCTGATCTCCTGACCTCGTGTCCACCCACCTCTGCCTCCCAAAGTGCTGGGATTACAGGCGTGAGCCACCGCACCTGGCCCAGAAGCATTCCCTTGAAAGCGGCGCACAAGACAAAATACCCTCTCTCACCACTCCTATTCAACGTGTAGTTTGGAAGTCTGGCCAGGGCAATCAGGCAAAAGAAAGAAATGAAGGGTATTCAATTAGGAAAAGAAGAAGTCAAATGTCTCTTGTTTGCATGATGACATGATGTCATAGTTTATGAAAACCCCATCTTCTCAAGCCCCAAATCTCCTTAAGCTGCGCATAAGCAAACTTCAGCAAAGTTCTCAGGATACAAAATCAATTGTCTGCAAAAATTCACACAGCATATCCTATACACCAATAACAGGATGCAAGAGCGGGAGAGCCAAATCATGAGTGAACTCCCATTCACAATTGCTTACAGAAGAGAATACAAATACCTAGGAATACAGACTGTACAAGGGATGTGGAAAATCTTTTCTTTTTTTTTTTTTTCAGTTTTATGTAGAGACTAGGTATCACTATGTTGTCGCGGGCTGGTCTCAAAGTCTTGGGCTCACAGCGGATCCTCTCTGCCTTGCCCCCAAAGTGTAGGATAACGAAAGTGAGTTTCGGCCCCCAGCTGTTACTTTCCCTATTTCTTTCTTTCTTTTTTTTTTAAACAGTCTCCCTCTGTTGCCCAGGCTGGAGTGCAGCGATTTCTGCTCACTGCAGCCTCACCTCTAGGGCTCAGGTGACCCTCCCACCTCAGCATCCCTAGCTGTTCAAATTTATTGTCAAACTCTTTTGAATCATTTATCAACGCAAATCTGTCAATGCCCACTTATTTTTATTTATTTTTTTGAGGCGGAGTCTCGCTCTGTCGCCCAGGCTGGAGTGCAGTGGCGCAATCGCGGCTCATTGCAACCTCCGCCTCCCTGGTTCAAGCGATTCTCGTGCCTCAGCCTCCCGAATAGCTGAGATTACAGGCGCGCGCCACCATCCCCGGTTAATTTTTGTATTTTTAGTAGAGACGGGGTTTCGCCATGTTGGCCAGGCTGGTTTCAAACTCCTGACCTCAGGTGATCCCATCACCTCGGTCTCCCAAAGTGCTGGGGTTACAGGCGTGAGCCACCGTGCCCGGCCCTCATGAACTTATTCTTTAGCGTTTCATTTTGAGAGCGGAGTCACAAGGGAATTGCGGAAACAGCAGCGAGGCCCCGCGACCCCCTCAGCCCACGTGCTCACTGTCACCGCTCCGGTAGCCCCGCGCCCGCCGGGGGCGGAGTCCGCTGTGACGCGTGCAGGGCAGCGCGCTCCCGGAAGTGACGCGCGACGGTTCGTGCGTGCGTGCGGGCGGCTGCGTCGGGCTGCAGGAGAAGATGGCGGTCTCCACAGGTCGGTTCCCGGGCCGGGCTGCCTGATTTTCTGCTCCTACCCGGCTCTGCCCCTCTGCTTGCTGCTGGCGGCCGAGCGCTGACCGTGCGGGAGAAGCCCGAGTGCGCTGTCTCGAATGCCGCGCTCTCCGCGGAGCGTAGCCTGGGACCGGGTGGGACCGGCGCCGAGGCCCCCGGCGGCCGTCGGGTTGGCGGGTCGTGCTCGCGCGTCGGCCGCGCGCCGGCGGGCTGGGGGCGGGGTGGCTCCCGCGCGGGCGCACCCGTAGGGTGCGGCGGGCGCGGGTCCGAATTGTAGGCTGAAGGCTCTACGGGAGGGAGGCGAGGAGGCCCAAGGTGGGCGGGTGTCAACCTCCGGCACCGAAGATGGGTCAGGCCAAGAGGTGACCTGGATCAGAGTAGGGGTCCCATTCCCTTGGACTCTCCTTGACCTCGGTTGGGGAGGAGAGGACGGTTGCTCCTTAAGAGAGAGAGGATCGTTCTTACCTGACTGAATACGTGTTATCTTTTTATTATGTATGAGGAAACTGCAGTGCAAACAAAATAAAAGACCAGAGCAAGATGAAAGCTAATTGAAGAACAAGTGGTTTCTTAGATAAGCTATTCAACTCCTCTTTCCTACTGAATACAATGTTTGGTTTCCTGTGAGCACACAAGTATTAACGTTGGGGTTTTAGACATTAGACCATTTCAAAAATGATGAAAATGTTAAGTTTTACTTTACATTTAAAAATGTTAACATGTATGATTTGCCTTTTTCTTCTTCTTCTTTTTTTTTTTTGAGTCAGAGGCTCACCCTATTGCCCAGGCAGGAATGCAGTGGTGTGATATCGGCTCACTGCGATCTCCACCTCCCAGGTACAAGCGATTCTCCTGCCTCAGCCTCCCAAGTAGCTGGGATTACAGGCGCGTGCCACCACGCCAGGCTAATTTTTGTATTTTTAGTAGAGAGGAGGTTTCGCCATATTGACCAGGCTGGTCTGGAACTCTTGACCTCAGGTGATCCGCCTACCTGGGCCTCCCAGAGTGCTGGAATTACAGGCATGAGCCACCGCGCTCGTCCTGATCTGCCTTTTTCTAGACTTCATTGAAACTGGATTATAGAACAGTGTGATTTAATAGTTCATGTCATCATTGCATAATAAAATGAGTTTTCAAATCTGTATGTACTGAAATGGAAGGCTTCGAATATATGTTGTAATTGTTACTTTAATACCTCAGGATACATTCTTCATACATTTTAATTAGGTAGTGTCTTTTACATCTTTATTACATATAGGTGTCATAGGTTTTAAGATTTTTAGCAGTTCTAGTGTTGGGATAGTATATATACTTGGGTCAGAGCTAACTAGTAAGGCAAGGATTATTTTTAAAGTGGAATTTTAGTGTTACGACTTTACTGTGCTTGCTGAAATCTAATCTATGTGCTCGTTAACGGGGCCATATCTTTTTAACAGTTGTGCTTAGAACCTCTTATAGATTTTTGAAAATTTAGTAATAAAATAATGCATTTTAATTTAATACTTTTCATTTTCATTTTGTGGATTGCATTATTAAACACATTTTTTTCATAACACTGTACATATAAGTGAATGTTAATATTTTGAAAAGACCAAAGGTTACATGATATTAATGGCAAATATTTTTTGTTAATCACTTTTAGTTGTTTTGGAAATTGAATATAAATTATAAAGATTACTGATAAATTATTAGCATATTGTACATAGGGAGTCTTTAGAGTCTCCGCTTCTTCCGCCCAGCCTGTAGTCCAAGTGGTGTGATTCTTGGCTTCATTGCAACCCCCACCTTCCGCCTGGTTCAAGTAATTCCTGCCTCAGCCTGCCCGAGTACCTGGGATTACAGGGCCGCACGCCACCCACGCCACAAATTTTATGTAATTATAGATTATTATTTTTTTTTAGTAATGAATGGGGTTTCCCATCAGTTGGGGCCCAGA